GAGAGAGAGAGAGAGAGAGAGAGAGAGAGAGAGAGAGAGAGAGAGTTAACTTACAAAAAGATTGACTTTATATTAAATTTAAATAAAAGCAGTTTGTAAGTTGAGACTCGACATATATAGCGTGAATCATGTGTTCAAGATGGCTGCTTTGCCGGATTCAGTGATTGGCATGTATCCTCACTTTTATTATCATCAATATTGTCACCCTCATCTTTACTATCATCATGACCATCATCATGACCATCATCACAATTATCATCATCAAGCTAGATTATTCCTACCTACTCTGCTTTTTAAACAATGATCATCATCACCATTGTTTTACAGCAGAAAAGAAATACGTTTGAGACATGGATGGGGTTGGTCATATTTAATCAGATCCCAGTGTTCTTTTATATCGTGCCACTGGTAGGTCCTACTTCTTTTGTCCCTCTGTAGTCTTTGTCTATCTGTCTTGCTTATTCCCAGCGGTACATGACCGTTATTCTGTCGACATGCTTCTCTTTACACCAACTTAAATAGTTGGCCATCATCATCATCATCATCATCATCATCATCATCATCATCATCATCATCATCATCATCATCATCTTCATCATCATCATCATCATCATCATCATCATCAATTTTCATGATCACCACCATTGAACACATATGAGTCACAAGGATTTGTAAATGTGACGGTAGAGAAGCTTAGGGGAAAAACTTTTAGTTTTAGTAAGAGTTTTACGGCAACACAATAAGGTCATATAAATGCCGAAGAATATATCATGTGTTACAAGAGAGTAACATAGACAAAAAAGGAGGAGAGAGATAAGGACGATAGATGTTTGATAGGAAAGAAGGAGCAAACCACACCAGAGCACCCGCTAACCACCTAAGAAAAAAAAACAACTTTGAACAAGACATGGTGAACTTTACTATATATATATCATTGTTGATACATTGTCAGTTAGTCCTTGAAGATGAAGGTGACGTCATATTTTCTCAACAGGCCAGACGTGACAGGCGATCCTAGCCTGACCACGCAGTTATCTGCCGGACAGCCGGATTTTCTTCGATTTAGCCGTGTTTTCGGTTTCGAGAGTGAAGGACAACAGCAGATGGACCAAAAGATGTACTGAATGGAGACCAAGAAGAGGAAAAAGATCAAGCAAGAGGAAGACCAGAGTGAAGACGGCAAGATGACATCAGAGAACAGACAGGTACAACCTGTACGCAGAAAACAGCTGATAAAACAGACCGAAGGTCATTGTTGGAGGGCGACATCCTACAGCGGAGGACAACGCAAAGAAAGAAAGAGAGAAAAACGATTTCAGCAAACGTCACTGTAGCTGTTGAGGCTTTTTTACAGGCGAGAGGTGTTGAGCAGATGACGTTGACGAACTGAAAAAAAACCCGTTAACGGCATGCATGTAATAATGTCGCATTATTCAGACAGAATGATATTATAATTTTATTCTAGCATATTATGCTCACCCGTTTTTGCCTGATCCTGAGTTGTCTGAGCCGCTAAATCCAAAATTGAAGGCGGAGAAAGACGCCACCGATGTAGAACTCCAGAGAAGCTTGTAGACCAATACAAAAGTGACGATCAAGGCTACAGTCCCGAACACCACGGGCTTGTTTACATGCAGCCCGCTGGGCCTGATCCCCCCCATCAGGACACAAGGTCGGGACGACTCAACTCTCTAACTGCGTTCGGGCGATCCTAAGTCTGGCGGTGCTGTAGGGGGTGACAGGTTGTCCAGGCGCTGAGGAAGCGGTTTTGAGCGGCCGTGACTAAAGTGTTGACTTGTGTTATGGGTTTATGAGTGTGTGTGCGCGTGTGTCTGACAGGCTCGTTGCGTGTGTGTTGCTCACAATCGTGTGGTTTTGGAGTTGGTTGGACGGGCGATGAGAGGGTGGGTGGGTGGAAGAGTCAAGTTTGGTGGAGGGAGGTAAAGGGGTCGTCAAGGTCGTCTTGTGAGCGATGAGGGCGTGGTCCTTACCCTGCGGTATGGTATTTGATCAATCTGAAACAAAAACAGAAAAGGGGGGATTTCAACACACTTCTTGAAAAGGAAAAAAAAAAGGTGTGGACACTGCAAAATACGCCATGTGACAGATTT